CCCGGAGCCCGGGCCCCTGGTCGCAGCCCTGCTCCTCCCCCGAGCACAGGGACGGGGAGGCCTCCACCATTGGATCATGCTCAATCTCCCAGAGCCCCTCGCTGAAGCCGCGCCTCTTGTTGGGCTTGCCGAACCTCTCCTTGGACTCCTCGTAAGGGAACAGGTGCTTGGGGCCCAGCAAGGCCGTCTCGTGGGTCCCGAAGAAGAACACCTGGTAGCGGTTGGGCTCCGCCACCTGCTCGATCCTCGCAGGCCAGTGGGCGTAGCCCTTCAACTTGGCAAACACCAGATCCCCGGTCTTGTACTTAGGGTGGCTGAAGTAAGACATGGCGTGTGCGCTGGGTCCCAACTTGGCGACCGGAAGCGGACCGCCGCCGCGTCTGCGCAGATCACTGGGCCGAGTGCGCGTGAGCACCAGGGCCATCTCGAGGACGCTGGCAACGCTTCCTTCTTCAGAATGTTGCACTGCAAAGAGGGCATTATCTCGGAGAGCCAATGGCTAGTGGAGCCTGACATGGATGCCATGGTTACCTGAATGTTACCGCAAATAGCATGGCGGTTGTGGTGACAAGGACTCAGTGTGTCTCCATCTTGAAGACGCCTGTGCCATAAAGATGACCCTGTTGTATTCCAGGGTAGCCCAGCAAGGCTGTGATTGAAGCTATGAGGGAAGAAAACACAGTGATTCAAATGGAAACATGTTTTTGTGAAACTTGTAACAATCTGGAATGATCTTTTAGTGACTTTGTGGCCAGTGTCTGCTCACTACAGGAAACCCAAGAGGCCTCCCTAAGAAGTCTAGTGGTTTCATTTTCTGATTTACTGTGAATCCATCATTAGAACTAGGTTGAGTCTAAAGACCGTGTGGAAGTCTGTCGAAGGGAGACTCGGCAGTCAGCAGTCTGGGTAGGGTGTCTAAAAGACACATGGCTAGGAACAGATTTTAGTGTTGGTATAGTGGGATGAACAGGCAGCACAAAGACAGAATAATTGTAGCAGTAGTCAAGTCCTAGCTTTGCTGATGGGAGCAGCCACTTATGCAGCAGCAGCAGTGAAGACAGAGCAATGGTGTCCTTTCAGAGAGCAGTGGCAGCAGAAATAACTGGAAGCAGAAGTAAGGAAGACAGCAGGCTGTAGAAGGTTCTGAGGAGCCGATGATAAGAAACTGTGGACACTGGTTGCTGCAAGAGTTCCAATAAGCTTGCAAGCCTTCAGAACCCAAGGTTCCAAGCACCCTAGGTCCGGAGCTGTGGCACTAGCTACAGACTGGTGGAACCTGATACTTAGGTTTGGTAGCTATAGTGCTTGCTACAATGGCTAGGATTCCCAGAACCCAAGGTCTGTTTGAGAGCTGTGATATTACCAGGTACTGCCTGCTGCTACCCGAGTCTGTCTGCTGTTGCTTCTGCTTTAAGCCAAGGATTACAGTTGCTGCTAAGTGCCAGGGCCAGAAGTGGTTACAAGTTAAAGCAATAAACCTCCAATGTGCTTAGTACCGTAAGTGTCTGGCTTCAAAAGTATGGTAGCAAAGACCCTTAGTTTTCAGGGTTGTTACTGTAATCTTTAGGTTTACCAGCCTAACCCACAGGCCTTGGATTGGACTGCCAATGCTAGAAGAATTTGTCCTTACCATCTCATAATACTACCTAGTTTATAAAAAGTGCACAAGTCAATTGATTAATTTATGATTTACAATCATTTTGAAGTCTATTCCTGTCAAATATATTGGAACATAGACTTGATGGAGGTCATAGCTACAAATACAGAGTAACTTCAACCAAGACATGACTTTAGGGATGACAGAGAGGTTCTTTGTGATGGAACACATCTTATTTTCTACATCCCTTTTGACTTCTGCTTGCTATCAGAATGTACATTCAGATACCTATCCAAATTTATCACAATACTCTGCTGTGTTTTGAAAAAAACATTTCTGTGCTGCTCAAGTATTTAATGGTACAGATGTTCTTTTGAGGTGTTATAAGTGGAAAATTAGAGACATTAGCCAGTTTCAGTACAACATCACTTTAGTTTTGGTTTGCTCATTTTACTTTGGATAAAGGAGGCCTTATCTGGGAAAAAATGGAATGGTATCCAAAGGTAAAACAAAAGTAATTTGATAATCCTAGTGGAGTTCTTTTAGCTTTCATTTTAAACCATTTTCTTAAGATGTCTTGTCTGCCCTGCGATATCTACAGCTTTACCCAATAGACAACATTGATAGTGAACAAGTGCTCTACAGAAAAGGAATTAACATACTTCTCCTTCTTGAGTTCACAAGGAAAGTTGTAGGAAAATAGAAACTTATAATGGAATTCAAAAAAAAATAGAGAGAGCAACCCAAACAGTTGGGAGGAATCTGAAATTGCTGAATGCATATGTCACTTAGGTAACCCTGATCTTCCCTTTTCCTTTTATCCTAAATATGGTGAATCACTATGTGGGTAGGTCACATGCACAAAGTTACCTCTGGTAGAAAAACATTTTTCAAAGATGTTTTGTTTAGAAGAGAAAATTATCCACCAGCTTAGTGTGATGGCAAGGATACACCTAAAATTTAGTTTTTTATGAACTCACCAGTGAGTGGATCCTACCAAACAAGCCAAATAACAATAACTGGGTGATGATTCACCACAAAGTGAAGATCTGAGGGAGGAATCTTCCCAAAACTTGCATGAAAAATACAATCAGAAGCAGAGGCAAGAAGACAATAGAATATTTAGATTTGCATATGGGGATGCAGGCTCTATTAGGCCCACATTCCTCTAACAGGTATTGTATCTTCAGTTTTCTAGTTTAGGAGATAAAGCTTCAGGGCATTATGATCCAAATTGGTCTTTAAATGATAAGTAATGTGCCCTCTGTATATATAGTCACCAAATGAACTCTAGGAGAAATTGATAGGCATGTGGTATTAGGGCAGATTTATAGAAGCAGTAGAAGATACTGCAGAAAATGCTGACATATTCCCTTGTTTCCCAGCACTCTACGGCTGAGAATATGTGTGTGTGTGTGTGTGTGTGTGTGTGTGTGTGTGTGTGTGCTGCTAGTTAGACACAAGCACATATCTGATACATAGTCAAGTTTTAAATTATATTTTAAAAATTAATAATATACTTACTGCAGTTGAGTCTAAGTGCCTCTGTATTGTAAACTAGTAAGCTTCCACTGAGCTACATCTGCTGCTATCACTTACTTCTGAGATAGGGTCTCACTGTGTTTTCTAGGCTGGCTTTGTGGTTACTGTGTAGTACAGACTGATCTTGAAATTGATATATCCCTCCTTTATCCTCCTAAGTGACTGGGATTATAGGCTTGCATGACTTTGTTTGGTGATAGTATCTTTCTGAACCTCTGTTATATATTTTCAAAGATATTTAAAATAGCACACAGTATTTTTTTTCTGGATTTCAGGAATGCTAATGAGACTATAGATATTAAAATTCAGAAAGTAAAATATACTGCCAGTCAGTGTGAAGCAGAATTTTACCATGGGTGGGAATAAGCTGTAACTATCATACTAAGCAAAGGGAAGAATACATCAATGAGATTGAAGGAGAGCATTGAAGAATGAAGAAGTTCACCAACAGCCAAGTGCCATGTTATAAAAGCATGACATGTCTGTAAACCTCAGTATGAAAGTCATGAAGTTTCGTCTCATTTGGAACTTTGAAGAATTCTTCACATATGTTTTCCAACTCCTTACAACTCTTTTAGGAAAGGGGGAAAAAAAGAAAAATGCCTTTGTGATAAAAAAAAATTTATTTCAGTTCCCCAATTCTCTTTTATTTGTATACACTGTTACCTGGCAATTGGGGTTGATACAGATTCATTTGCCTTAAAAAACAACATGTTTTTGAGTTCTTGCAAATCTCTTTATTCTTGTGGTAGCTCAATTGGTTTAGACTTGGTTGTTATAAACTATTTTCAAATAACTGTGATCATTACTTTTCAAGAAGTAGTTCTATACATGTTCAAATGCTTTTAGTAGATCAGGATGTCTTTGAAATTAGTTGTCCTCCTTGTAACAAAGAGGAATTCTAGCCATCTACTTATATAGCAGCACCTGAGAAAAATATTTAACACTTTTCAGTTTCTTTTCTGGAAAATTAATGATAGGATTTAAAAAGCTGCTCAACAACAATTATGAAGCATCAGCAATAACACATTATAATTACACAAGAGAGACAATGATAGCTAATTGATATTTCCTTGTTTAATTACTTTTAAATTCAATTAGTTTGCTGTAAACTATGATTTAAAAGAAACATAATTGTTTTCCTGTGTGCTTTTGTCCTCATTAAAGATATTAACTGCCTCTGGGTTTATACAGTAGATGTGTTTGGTATTTGAAATCAAGGCTTTTCTTTTTTAATATTCTAGCAGATGTGATTACACAGGAAATGAGCATCTCCTGACCATGGGAAGAAAATTTCCTACTGTTCATTTCTAAAACATCACAGCAAATTCTCTACGACTATATTTTCTCAACCCCCTTATTTTATCATTGACCATTGGCCTAACATTCAAACCTTTGTTGGTTTCTAAATTTCAAAGAATCAATTGAGCATATATGGGGCCATCAGCAGCTGAAGAGAAATCTGAACTGAATTCTCTCAAGGGAGCATTGTCTTTGGGTTTTCGTTGCTGTGATAAAACACCATGACCAAAATGAACTTGGAAACGAAATGTTTTATTTCATCTTCTAGTTCTCGGGTCTTACTTCATCACTGAGGAAAGTAAAGGAACGAAATCAAGGTTGGAAAATGGAGACAGGAACTGAAGCAGAAGCAATGAAGGAGCTCTGTCTGCTCAATAGCTTGTAACTCATAATTTTCTCAGTTTACTTTCTTATGCAAGATGTGAGCCCAGGGATGGCGCCATCTACAATGAGTTAGAACTTCACGAATCAGTTATCAATCATGAAAATTTCCCAAAGACTTATCTGAAGGCAATCTGATGGATGCATTTTTTCAATTAAGGTACCTCTTCCCAGATAAATCTAGCATATTTCAAATTGACAAAATAAAAAAAACCAACAAAACAATAAAAAATAACAATCAGCAGAGGCAGCAGCATCATTTTGTCCAGTGGATCAAATCTGCATCTACATTAGCAGGGAGTGTGGACAGGAAGGGTAAAGGACACAGAATTCTTAAGTGGATTTGGCCCTTAGTTCTACTTTGAGCAGTCAGCAGTTGTAAATGTTATGATATGTGTAGGAAGAAAAATTCAAGACAATGAACTCTTGATGAAACCTCTGATTTAACAGCAGCAGATGGAAAACATCTCTTCAAAAATGAATAAAAATAGTTACTGGTGAAAAAG